TATATTATTTAGTTGTAGATGGACAAATTACCTGTATTTTACTTATTTATGTGGTGCTGAGGATCAAACTCAGTGCCTCACATGTGCTCGGCAAGCATTCTACCACTGAGCCACAACCCCAGCCCCTGCCCTCTTTTTCAGTCATGTCCAGAACAGCTATCACGTTCTCTCTCCATCATTTCAGTGTCCCAATCCTTAAAACTTTTTCTTTCTATTCCTTCCCCAAGTATTCTCTTAAATGGGGCCATGGCAAAACCTACAATGTTATGGTAGACTAATGCAGGAGTAATGATGTTTCTATGACAAAGAAATAAGAAAAAATAAAAACTACTTTAAAGGTTATCAAATGCTTATAGATTCGAGCCAAAGGCAACCAGAAACTGAGACATATTAGCCAGGCCCAATTATTTCTTAGATCTCATGGTTAGTACTATATGCTCAAAGGTTACTGTTTAGATGACACCACTTTGAGTTAGGAATGGTCATTCATCCATTCAACATAATTCAGACAAGAAATATAACTGATTGAAGTTCTAAAATCTAACTCACATGAACAATTCCAGGCAAGGCTGCCACGTTGCCAATCTGTTTCATGGCTGGCAAAAAGCCACCAACACCTGAAAGCAAAAAGTCAGTCTTAGAAAAAAAGATATGTTTGATTTTCAGCATTAGTTACATTCATATTTCTAGACTGTATTACATGTTTACATGAATAATCTATGTAAAGAACCTAAAATGTATGGCACATAGTGTAGGATTAATGGTGGTAGCTTTGATATTATTATTTAAGGGTTAGCTGAGACACAAAGCAGGCCCACCCAGCTCCAAATCCTTTAAGTGCAAATGGCTAACAATGTGATCACAATTCAGGACTTTGGTCTCATTATGTCTTTTTTTTTTTTTAAGTTGTAGATGAACAGGATACATTTATTTATTTATTTATTTATTTTTATGGGTGCTGAGGAGCGAATCCAGTGCCTCACCCATGCTAGGCAAGCGCTCTACCACTGACCTATAACCCCAGTCCCTCACTATAAGTCTTGATCATTTCCTGACAATTACCATTTATTCAGGCCACAGGTTTAGGCAGATATTTGTAATACAACAAATGAAATGCTAATGTACTTACCACCACCTCGACAGGCATTCCTTAATTCCTCAAACATTAATTTCTCCAGAGCATCATTCACATAGAAAACTCCTTCAACCTGGTACCAAAGGAAAGGAAAAATGCTTTCTAAGCATGTGTCCGTCAAGTATAGGCACACTGGACATAATACATAGTATATAATACTTATTTTATTTTGCTTTATTCTCTGTAAAACTTTCACATTAGCTCAAGCAAGAAAAAAACCCCAACTCCTAACAAAGTCTAAAAGATGTTCAAAGGGTTTCAGATTTGGGAGTATTTTGAATTGTATGGGTCAGGGCTGCTCAACCAGTGAAGTTTATGCAAATATGCCAAAATTTAAAAAAACTGGGGCTGGGGATGTGGCTCAAGCAGTAACCCGATAGCCTGGCATGCACGGGGTGCTGGGTTCCATCCTCAGCACCATATAAAAAATAAAATAAAGATGTTGTGTCTACCGAAAACTAAAAAATAAATAAATATTTAAAAAAATTCTTTCTCTCTTAAAAAAAAAAAAAAAAAAAAAACCCTCCAAAATCTGAAACTTTTCCCGTCCCAAGTACTTCAGATAAGGGATATTCAACCTGTAATTTGCAATGCTCAAAAACTGTTTTGTTTGAGGGGACAAGATAAATTTACTGTGAACATTATACAACACATGTGTGTAATAAAACATCATATGGTGCCCCATAATATGTATGATTTTTATTCACCAATTAAAATAAACAAATGAACACCCTGCCCCCATCAAGAGGGAAAACAGCACTGTTTTGTCACTGTGGGCTTTTTTTCTCCTTAGTTTGTAGCTAAAGCTGTGTGTGAATAGGGGTCATTTGATAACTTTGACACTGATTAAAAGAGTGGAAAGGTTCTAGGAACTTTTTACCAGGACACAGGACTGCATAGCCTAGGACCCTTGCACAGCACCTTAGAGGGTTTCAAAGCAATGTCACCCACAGGTACCAAAACCTCACGTGCTTTGTCCTTCACGTTAATGGAAGCCATGAGCACACTAAGAGACAGCAAGCTCAGCCTTTCACACTCTAGAAGTGGGCTCCCGGGTCTCCATCATGATTTTGGCACAGAAAGAAGTAAACTGGACGTCAGGCCCCGGCTGAGCATCTCACTAGATGGGTCCGGAGAGCTGATCCTCAGGGCCCCCTGCGAAGCGCAGAGCAAAGACCAACCAACCCTGCCTTGCTACTCCTGACGGGTGGGAGGAAGGGAGTCACTGATGGAGAACCAACATGGAGCAGGGAGCGCTAAAGACTTGGCGGAGCGCAGAGCGGTCAGCACGCGTCAGAGGAGCGGAGTTCCAGTCCTGGCATCTCCCCCCGCGCCTCGGAAAGCCCGCGGAGGTCTCTGAGCACCACGCACGAGACGCATCTTCAGACGCCCGCGAAAGCGCTCCGTGAGCGCCCCGCTTCGCTGGTCCCGGTGGTCGCGGGACCTCTCCTGCCCGAGATGGAGCGAGGAGGGCAGGGGAAGGGGGTCAGCCTGCAGGGTCGGGGGCGGACCCGGGCTCGTGTGGATTCGGGAGTCTCGGGGAAGGGGTGGGAAGGGGGTCGGGGGAGGGGCTCGGGAGGGCAGGGTCGGGGGCGGACCCGGGCTCGGGTGGGTTCGGGAGGGCTCGGGGAGGGGTCGGGGGAGGAGTCGGGAGGGCTAGGGGAGTGGCCCCGGGGAGGGGTCTGGAGGCTCCGGGAGATCTAGGCGGTCGCCGAGACGCCGCCCGGGATAGGGAAGGCCCGGCCGCCGGGTCCCGCTCCCCCGTCTCACCTGCATGTTGGGCACGAAGCCCTTCTTGATTCTCCAGCAGTTTTTATTGATCTTTTCCAGGAACTGTAACTCATCGTTGTAAGTACGACTCATGGCTGCGACAACAGTAGCAGACGCTCGGCGTCCGGCTCTGAGGAGAAGCTGCCGCGCTGTCGGGTTCCGCGGAGCACGCCTTCTGGCGCTCAACGCGCAGGCGCGATCAGCTCCGCACGATCGGCGACGGCGAGCGCCGAGGCTCGAAACTCTTCGCAGCAATCGCTTTTTTTTTCTTGTTAGACCGCCCTCTGGAGTTTGCTTTATGAGTTGATCTCAACCAAGCTACATCTAAGCGAAAGCTAAGCTAAATCCAGTTAATGTTTCCTATGATCTAGTTATCCTTCATTTTGGAAGTGTTTTTGAGCAGCTGTCGAAAACACCTTGAATCCGAGTCAGATCCAGTCGCTCTATAGAATACTTCGTTTTGGAGTTTACATCCCCAACAGTGAAAGGAAAATATATGCTTGCAGCTGAGAAAGACAATCCTGTTTGAAAAAGCACCACACCTGAACATTTGTAATGTCTCATAATGAATCTGTGGATATACATCAAGTAACTTTTTTGGTAGAAAAGAGCATCCCAAAGAATGAAACGTGACATTTTATCATTTATTCCCGCAAACACTTATAGGGACACCTTTCAAGGCCAGAAATATGCAACAAAGATGAATCAGCCAGTGTCCCTATGGATGGTCTGGGCTTCCCCATTTGGCCTTCTTTGGTGATTAAATCTTCTACGGTCATGCTTTTATTCTTGTTTGTTTGATTGGTTTTGTTTTTTGAGACAGGGTCTCACTGAGTGGCACAGGCTGGACTTGAAGTCCTCCTACCTTCAGCCTCCCCAGTAGCTGGATTATAGGCACACACTGCACCCATTTATGATGGTGCTATTAAAGGCAACATCTCTTGCTAATTGAGATAAGTAAAGCTCTAAGTGATTTCAGTTTCTAGCGCTGCCTCAGGTTGAGAACAACAGTTTTGGAGTCAGGAAGACTTGGATTTAGTTTCTATCTGTGCTATTTTCTAGCTTTGTGTGATATATCCCTTTTAGTCTCTATTTTCTCATGTATAAAATGGGATCACAATTCCTCATAGAATGGTTTTGAAGATTAAATTACATGATACTAAAAAAGTAACCAGCATAGGGCTTGGCTGATGGTAAGTGGCTTTCTTCCACCTTTGCCTCCCAACTAGACTGTAAGGCCTGCAAAAGCAGCTTGCAGTTTCTGTTAATTTCGTACATTGTTCACACTGGTTCCCCTCTCCTCCTCTGCCCCAGTTTCACCCCATTTATTTGATGCTTTGACACTATCATGATCCACTGTGAATTGTCTAGGTCCAGTACTTTTTGCTGCCATTTTATTGAGTGGTGAGGGGAAACATCCCCAAACTGACCTCTAGAGTGTCCTATAGTTGCCCTCTCACCAGAAAGTTTTAAGAGGAAAAGGAACTCTTTTAAAATCAAGCCTTGATATCTGCATAGCCTCAGTTTTTTTCTTAGTGTTAAACTAAATCCTTTCCTTTTCTTTGACATATGTTATTAAAATACATTCAGGACAGGAAATCTCCCAAATAATTAAAAAAAAAGATTGACATTGATAGAAAACAATTTTAATTAACACAGGGGATGGTAACAGTGAATATAAAACATAAAATCCAACATGCAGGTGGGGGAAACACTCGAAGGAGCTGTAAGATCTGCACAGATAACAACCCATACAAATACAGACTTTGAGAGTTTCTGACGCCGTGGTCAGAAGTTCATGCCTAGCTCTTGTCCCTAGAACCTTATAAACACAGGCACACAACATGCACACACTCACAGTCAAACCCCTGCCCCTCCACATATAGCGCACACACACACACACACACACACACACCCATCCCTCCCCCCCTCATTCAGCCCTTTAACAGGCCTCGCTCTGTGTCCCAGAAGCCTCCCAAAAGATAACTTTCTGCCTAAGTAATGCACAAGGTGTGCCTTGTCTTCTCCCTCCTGGTTTACAGTAGCTGTGGGATTAAGAGTCATTTCCTTCCTGGGGCGCCGGGTGAACAGGCAGTCAAGGGGTTGCCCTCCCCGTCCACTGTCCATTTAGCAGGCTCAGGTCTTCCCAACCATGGAAACTTGGCTGCTGTTTTGAGGATGATTCATACTTCAGGTCGGTGGAAATTAGCAGGAAACCCTGAAAAGGGGACAGCAATGAAGAGAGCATCAGATTTGGGGCACATCTAGGTTTGCCTAAGGGTGGTGTCTTTACTGCATCCTAAGGTACCAAGCCTTTCCCAACATCTGGCCCTCTTTTTGAGGACCTTGGATATCGGAGGAAGTTATGGAAGATTGTCATCAGATGTGACTTAAGTATTGGGAGTTGGGGGGAGAGGGAGGCAGGGAGGTGAGAAGCGCTGGGGAGTGTAGAGGATTGAAGATTCCTTCAGAAGCTTATTTCCACCTCCCCAATCAGACAACGCCAAAAAGGGGGAGAAGATATTATGAAGTTAGTTAACCGTAATTAGCCAGGAAACAGTTCTCAACGGACCTCGGAGCCCAGAGAAGGGTCTTCAGGGGAAAGTCATTGGGAGAATTAGAAGAGCCAATCTGAACCCTTTTCCAGCTACCTGAACCACTTTACCACTTTGAATCTCATTGTTCTCATCTGTAAAATGAGATTAATAATCTCCGCCTTATAGCTTGTCTTTTGGAGTAAATTGTGTAAAATGCATCGAAGAATATCTTCTTGCTGAATGCAGTGGCACAAGCCTGGAATCCTAGAGATTTGGGAGGTTGAACCAGGAGGATTGCAAGTAGGGGGCCAGCCTCGGCACCAAATAAAAAAGTGAAGGGCTAGGGATATAGTTCAGTGGTAGAAAGCCCCCCTTTTTTGACAAGGGGTGGGGGGAAGAATATCTTCCCTATACCGTGGTGTGAATAAATTTGGCTAAGCAAAACTGAACTTGATCTGATTTTTAAACATTTCATTGGTAATTGCAAATGTTAAGAGTTGAATGTTTTATTTATAAAATTCCTTGGTTTGGGAAAAAAAACAGAACATATGAAACTAAAACAAAAAGTAAACAAAATAGAAGCAAGCTTATTCTATCATGAAAAGAAATGGATCAGTTAGAGGAGATTCAAAATCTTACCTCCAAAACTTCGATGTCTGAATTGACGAACGAGAGTTTATGCGGGTTGGGCAGAGGAAATCCCTGCTGCAATCTTGCTAAAATATAGAAAGATATAAGATAACTAGGCATGGGCACAGACATTTTGGCAAACTTTTTAGCAAGAGACATACAAGAAGCTTTTAAATAATTCATTTCTTCATTCCTCCCGATAAGTCCCAAGGATTTTTCTGGAAGACTCGTTAATTCCCCTTTGTTTAATAAAAACGCATCTGCAATTATGCGCATTTGGACTTCAGAAACGACTTTATGCTTACCCAATATATATTTTGAAAATTCCTAATTGGTGGGTCCTGAGAACATTTTAGTGTCTAATATAAAAAACAGTATTTTAACTAAGCTGAACTCCAGATGCTGCAGTTTGAGAATAATTGGAGGGCAGGGAGAGGCCCTGGACTGTCATTCAATAAACTGTTTATCCAGATAACCACAGAGATACTTCGTAGGGAGAATCATCTCATTTCCAATTGAACTGAGGGACACTCTTCACTAAGGAGCGTGGTTTTGATCTCGTTCACTCAGCCAGAGTTGATGCTGAATTTACAAAATGACTTGCTTACAAGGCTTGGACCTAACATAAGTAATTTCAGAACCCTATTGTGGAGGGTCCACCCTGTAAATTTCTGGCTCTGGTCTGGATTCCTAAAAACGTTTTAAAAGTGGAAAGTCCCAAACAATCCCCAACGGTTAGCCATTATCAGAGTCGTGTCATTTCCCAAGAATCCCTTACTGTTGGCCAGGGGGAGGACTCCAAAGTGAAGGATGGAGGACAGAATATTCTCAAACCTCACGACCTGAAAAGAAAGAGGAAACCGCATCAGTTGCCAAATGGGGGCCGTTTGCAAATCCCACGCCCGGTTTGGACATGCCCTTTCCAAGAACTCACCAGGACAGAAAGCAATAACGAGAGTTTCTCACCAGGATATATTTTCTTTGTGGGAAATCTTATGACAGTTTCCTAACTATTTTTCCCATTGGGGATAAGCATTTCTGTTTCCCTTTACACTGGACCTTGGTGACTGCAAATGCACAGAACCACACGGTGGCAGCCAGTGCAGCAGCTTAGCTATCCACCAAGAAGGATAATCAAGAATTAAGAGAGTTCCCAAATAGCAGTCTTCTCTTTCTTTATCGGAAACCTCAACCACAGAAATTCCTTTGCTTTATGTTATGCGCTGAAGTTAGTTGCACCATCAGAACATCCAGTTTATCTTTAATAAACATGTTGGCTCTTGGGGAGATTTAGGTGTTAAAAATAAATGAATCAAAGCCAGTCGTGGTGGCCAAAGCTGTAATCTCAGTGGCTCTGGCGGCTGAGGCACAAGGATCTAAGTTCAGAGCCAGCCTTAGCAACTTAGCGAGACCCTGTCTCTAAACAAAACCTAAAAAGGGCTGAGGAGGTGGTTCAGTGGTTGAGCACTCTTGGACTCAATCCCCAGTACCAAAGAATAAAAAGTAAAAAAAAAAAAAGAATCAGGATGAACAGAAATTCATTGGGTGAATCCTTTTCAAGCATCCTATATGCTGAGCAATAAAAACCTCCTTGTCTCATAGCAATCGTGGCTTTGAAGCCAGACTTCCTGCATTTCCTCTTTCTCTTAACATTCACTATGTGATGTTGGGCAAGTTACTCAACCTCTCTGTGCCTCAATTTCCTCAACCGTAAAATGAAGATAATAATAGTTAACTATATTAATAATCTCATAGGGCAGATCATCAGGATCGAACAAGTTCATAATATATCAAATGCCTCTTATAAACAATTGCCATCTTATCCTGAAATGCCCCATGGTTAGTACATTCTGTTGTTGATACTAACTAGTTTACTGGAATCTTCCAGGAAGAGTTGGATGCCTTTTGCCTCCCCATTGGTTTCAGGAAATAGTATTTGTGAGAAAGTCACCTCTGTCTTCTCATTGACTAGATTCTCTCTTATCACGCTCAGAATGCAGGACAGGCTCTAATTAGGCTACGCCCTGGGGTGCTAACCAACAGAGCCTAGGATGATGCTGGTACTTTAGACCTCAGTGTCTCCCATGAAAGGTCTGACTCATTTTACAGCTTATGGACTCAATCCTACTGAATTCTAATCTTTCCAAGCTGAAAGTTAGGATGCTTCTCTAAAATTAAACAAGCAAACAAAATCTTGTTTAGCCTCCTGGTTCAATTCTCGGACTTTTTGGCTTATCCCCCTGCCCCCATGTATTCCTATCTTATTACCATGTTTCTGTTGAACATGGCAGTTCCTCCCATCTCCCACACGCTGCCTTGGTGTGAGGTTAAGTGACTCGTCCTAGGCCACATAGCAGCCAATGTGCTAAGTTAATTCCACATGTAGTTTCAGCTAATCTCTCCACAACACTGACATTTTGATCCCCAGCTCCATACTTGCCTGCACTGCCCATTCTGATGTATTTTTTTCTATAGTATGTTTCATTATATACAATATATATTTGTTTGTTGTCTGTATCTTCTCTCAGCCACATACATATATGCACACTCTCACACCTTCTAGAACAAGGTTTCCAAATAATGGTACTATTGGCATCTGGGTCTGTCTTGTGCACTTTGGGATGCCCGGAGGCACCCCTGACCTCTGTCCCTAGAGCACTCCTCTTCCTATCCCAGGCTATAATAATGAAAAAGTTCTTCAGACATCGCCAGGTATCCCTGGTGGGTTTACGTGGACCCTCGTTTAAGCACTACCCTGGAATATAAGTGCCAGGGGGGGTAGGCATTTTCTGTTTTCTCTAGAACAGTGCCAGGCTCCCTAATTATTTGTAAACAAAATGAATGATATTAAGAGTCAACATTTGTACAGGGTTGAGAGTGAACTAGTCACTGTTCCCCTCAGGTGTTGTGACACTGAAATCCATGTATCAACTTCTGTATGATAAACGGAAGTAGTGATTGGACCTTGAAGCCTGAGGGCAGGGGTTTTCCAAGTCGCTTGTTGGGGTGTCCACTCCCAAGCAGAAGGTACCCAGGCTGGGCTCCCCACTCCACAAAGGCATCCACACAGCCAGCCTTGGTCTAATTTTAGGAGATGGGTAGAAGGTGTTTGAAGAATAAACCTGATCATGGCCCCACAATTTACCATAGCCTCTTCCTTTGGGATTCTGGATCTTAAATTTAATTCTATAGAATTATTTTATGGAGAAAATGGGACCTTGAGAATACCTGTTTTCCTAGCATTACCCAATCTTAACAGTCTCTGGAGTTCTTTAAAAAGTGTTTTTGCGTAAATAAAAGCACATCAGAGAGCTAAGGGGCTCACTAGATGAGCAGCTGCATCAAGAATTTCAAGGTTAAGACGCGCAGTCCTGGAGAATGTAGGCATTATACAGAGTTCTCAGTCTTTCCTTGCCAGGGAGCCCTGAGGGGTCAGATCCCTACCTTAATATCGTTGCGACTGGACTCTGGCAAAGACAGGCGGAATCTGCAAGGAAACAAGAAAAGTGAAGGAGGGATATTTAAAAAACATAAAAAGCAGAACAAGGAAAAAGGGAATTTTTTTAAGCTCAAAAAGTCACTAGCTTTTTTTTTTTTTTTTTTGTGGTGCTGGGATTGAACCCAGGGCTTTGTGGTGCGAGGCAAGCACTCCACCAACTGAGCTATATCCCCAGTCCAGTCACTAGTTTAAAAAAATAAAAACAAACTTGAAAGGGCATCGATTACATCTTCTACCCCTGAATTTTGCTGCTTAAAAAGCAAAGCAGGTGTATTGGAGCTTCCCATTCATATGTACAATTTCCATGTTTTTGTGTATCAGTTAAAAAGTAAATAAAGGGGCTGGGGTCGTGGCTCAGTGGTAGAGCGCTTGCCTAGCATGGGTGAGGCACTGGGTTCGATCCTTAGCACCACATAAAAAAAAAAAAAAACCCTAAAAATAAATAAAATAAAGGTATTGTGTCCAACTACAACTAAAAATAAATAAATAAATATTTAAATAAAGAGGGCTGGGGCTGTAGCTCAGTGGCAGAGCACTAGTCTAGCATGTGTAAGGCACTGGGTTCTATCCTTAGCACCACATAAAAATAAAACAAATGAAATAAAGATATGCTGTCCACCTACAACTACAAAAAAAATTTAAAAAGTAAATAAAGATAAAAATATATTCTCTTAAAAAAAAAAAAGAAGCAAAGCAACAAGCAGAAGGCTTGAGCATGTAGCCAGGGTGGCTACCCAAATACACTTGCTTACACATGGGACTTACAGCTTGCAAACTCAGTGCGGAACAATGGTAAGAAATAGTTTTCAGGCCTGTTGGCTCCGAACTCAACCTTAAAACTTCCTTGATCCTTTATTATAATCCCAGTAACCTTATCTGTGATCAGTCTTGGTGACACCCCTCAGAGGGCTGTGTTATTCATGCCATTTAGAAAGCGGCTCCGTGGTAACACATAAGGGAACTTTAGCCAAGAGCCATCTGATGGGCACAGGTGCAGGGTGATTGCCAGCACAATGCCTCCGTCTCAATGTCATTTCTGCTTATTCCCTAATCTCCGTATCTTAATTTTCTCAACTATAAAATAGGGATACTATCTAGTTTATAGGGCTGTTGTGCAAATTGAATGAGATAATGCACATAAAATGCTTAGTCTCTATAAACATAAGCCATTTTTATCATGAGCAGAAATACCAAATGCCAGCACATATTGTCCTTGATACTCTTGGTCAAATATCAAGAAAGTGTTTGCTATAGGTCCAAGAAATAAGATACTCCCTCCCCAATATGCCTGGTAAGGGTGGATGTCAGCATGTCCTGATGTTTGATATTTTATGGGAACATTCAGAAGACAGCTAACAGCCAACATTGTCCCTGTTCCAGTTTTGCTAAGGGCTGATCCCTAGGTAGCTCCCCTAACATGCTGGCTTGATTTCCTGTGCAATAGTAATGGGAATAAGTAGTGATCTGTAGGCAGGACCACTTCGTTTTGCAGGTAGGAAAACTGACATACAAAGGAAGCAACATGAATAGCGGATTTTGGAACTCAGATCTCTTGGTGTTCATTTTAGAGCTCCTTTCCTTTAAAGGATGTTACTTTGTATTGCTTTCCTCCTTAGTCTTCTGTGGCTCACTCCTGCCCAGGTCTAGGGCCTCCCTTCTGCATCAGCCTTCTGATGAGCCTCTCGGTCTCCTGACTCGAGGCTCTGTAATCTGACCTCCACACCTTCCCAGAGTGAGGGGTATTACAGGCATGTCTGATGAGCACACTCCTGATCAAAATTCTTTAATGGCTTGTGATAAAGTCTAAAAAATACGGCACATGAGACTTTCTGTACCCTGGCTCCCAGCTCCCTTTTTAGCCTCATCTCTTTATTCTCTATCTTGAATTTTATCCTCACTAACCCAGAATTGTTTGGTGCTATTTTTTTTTCATTAATTCACTGGACACTGTAGACCTGAGGTTAAAAAAGGTAGTGGCTTCAAAACATACCAAAAAATCCTGAAAAATTAATATGTACAAAAAGTAACACTATGGGGCTGGGGTTGTGGCTCAGCAGTAGAGTGTTCGCCTAGCAAGCATGGGGCCCTGGGTTCGATCCTCAGCACCACATATAAATAAATAAATAAATAAAATAAAGGTATTGTGTCCAACTACAACTAAAAAATATTTTAAAAAAGTAACACTATGGCCATTGATCACTGCCCTCAGCACCATTCATAGTTAGATACAAATTACATTTAATGCTGGCTACATCTGAATATATGCAATAGAATTTTGGGCTGGAGTCTCCAAACATTAGAGTAACCAAGGAAGATCTTAGAAGAACTTGGAGATATGTCCCTGTATATTCCGCAATACTTTGCCCTCTCTGCCTGGGCTCACGCTGCTTCATGATCCTTGTCCTTTCCCTTTCTCTTTCGCTGGTTAACTCTTTTTAATCAATTAAAATTTAGCTCGAGATGGTGGAATGTGATAGACATCATTATCCAAAGTACATGTATGAAGACAGGAATTGGTGTCAACATACTTTATGTACAATCAGAGATATGAAAAATTGTGCTGTGTACGTGTAATAAGAATTGTAATGCATTCTGCTGTCATTTATTTTTTTTTAAAAATCAATTAAAAAATTTAGCTCGAGTGCTACCTCTTTGAAAACTCTTTCTGTGACCACATTTAAAGAATAGATTTTCTTTCTTTCTTTCTTTTTTAAAGAAGAGAATTTCAAAGAAGACATAGTTGCTTACTATCAGACAATATCATGTTGGCATGAATTAGGTTTTGAGATAGCTTCAGATTAGTAATTAATTACAAACAAAACGAAACAATCAGTTGAGTCCAGCAAGGAACAGATATGATATCATTAGCTCTGGGACTCAATGATCCCAGTGGAAAGTGAGGGCTAGGATCTGTAGGGTGTCTTTGACCTGGCTGAGGGAATGTGAGGTTTCTCTGGCTGGTAACGGCTGTCTCTTACGTGTGCAAACCTCTTAAACTTAGGAAATCCAGGGTACGAACGGTAGAGCACACTTAGGAGTTCCCTCTTATTTCTTTCATTACAAGCCCAAGTCCTGGCTCAGGACCGTCCGTGATGAGCGAGTTTGCCTGGGGCTTCCCATGAACCAAACTACCCTTTTTCCCAGGGCCAGCTCCTGTCTGCTTTCTAACGGACTGCTCTCACTAATTGCAGAAAAGGTGGTGGAGCTAAGAGCAAACTCGCACAGCTCCTGGTTCTAAAGAACGCATGAGCTCAACTCTGGCCACTAGGTGGCGCCTGACTCCCGTCCTTTGACTTCATCCTTCAGGCCAACTCGTTGAAAGTCCTGCTGCTGAGAACTTACTGCAGAACCACAGAGCCTTTGGGGAGGAAGAGAGCTCAAATAGACCTACCCCGAAGACATATATGCATCATTCTTGGGCTGGGGATGTAGTTCAATGAAAGAGTGCTGGCCTAGCACGCATATGCCCATGCCCAACACACACACACACACACACACACACACACACACACACACAAAATAGCCTATTTAAGAAGTTTAAGAAGTTTTATTGCCTGGCTTGAAAACTAGGGCTAAAGTGAAAACTCAAGCACAGAAAAAAGGTCATTCATGATCTGAATCATTATAGCAGTTGGGACAAAATGAAGGCTAGAGTCAAGGTCAAGTGTCACAGGTACTGACAATATCACTCCTCCAACATGTGCTGTGGCAGACAATGACAATCACTCCTATTTCTCCATGCCCTGTGAACTCTTGTTTCTGTCTTTTTCTGCAGCTGTGAACGCCCCGAGGGTAGAGGTCCAGTCTTACTTATTGCATCCTCAGGATTTAGCCTGGTAGATGTAGGAAGGTTTCCAAGGAAGGGACCCTTGCACCGATACAGGAAGGACAAGCAGGATTCCAAAATGAAAATGGGGAAGGGAGAGGCTGCCAGGGCCCTGTGCAGGAAAGAGAGGGCTTCTGGGAGGGCACAGCAAGAGGATGCAGGAGACGCAAATGGGGGTTAACCTGGCTGGGTGACTCAGCCATGTTGGGATTTTTGATCTCTAGCCTAAGAGCAAGGAGTCCGTTGAGGGTTTTTAGGAAGAGAGGCCACATCTGTGTTTTGTAGAAACCACTCTGGATGCAGTGAGAAGGGAGACGGGCAGGAGAAGATGCTTCCTCCAGTAATGTGCTATGCAAGACAAAGAATTCAACTTCTGTTTGTAATTATGGAGGGAGGAGAGAGAAGCTATACACAGGGAGCATTCAGAGGAAAATAAAAAGCAGTGTGGACAATGGCCGAATTATGGAATCAACGCAGGTGCCCTTCTATCAATGAATTAAGAAATTGTGGTGTGTGTGTATATATGTATACTCTATTGTGTATATATATGTATATGTAATAAGAATTGTAATGCATACATATACATACACATACATATATACACAATAGAGTTCTATTTAGCCATAAAGAAGAATGAAACAGGATAATGAAATCATGTTATTTGCTGGTAAATGGATAAGTGAAGTAAGCTAATAATGCTAAGTGAAATAAGCCAAACTCAGAAATATCAAAGGTCAAATGTTTTCTCTCATATGCAGAAGCCAGAGTAAAATAAAGAAAAGAGAGAGGAAAGGATAAAATATTACAAAGATACAGGGTAGATCAGTAATGCAGAAGAAGAGCAAGAGGCAGAGTGGGGGGATGGGTTAGGGGAGCAATGCAGAATGAATTCTTTAAGCATCATGTAATGTGCATATAGGAATATACAACAGGGAACCTCACCTTCAGGCACAGCTAGGAAGAACTAGTCACATATAAATTAGAAGATAAGTGGAAGGAAGTTTCGTTGAGTAGAGGAAGGAGAATGGGGGGAGGGTGGGAAGGAAAAGGGGGTAAGGAGGGAATCATGAGCTGAAATCCAATTCCATTCAGGTATGAGTTTGTTGAGGTGAACCCAACTATTACGTATAACTATAAAGCACTAATCAACAAACAAACACAA